GGGAATAAGACACCAAAAGGGAGTTGGGGAGCGTTTGGGGAACATCTGTAACGGTCTCCGTTACAATTATAACTAGTTATTATTATTATTCTTTTTTTCTACTTTCTTCTCCGGTACTTTTTTTGTCCGGGAGTGTTCTCATAGAACCACTCATCCGATTGACATGAAACCTTTTTAGGGTTAATAGGCATGTTGTGTAGGTGTTCGGAACGAAGGTCATTTTGCGCGCACATGCATGCACGTGCGCGCGCGTGCAATGAGTGAAATGACTGATATACTTCATGAAGCCGTAACTTTTATATTTCTTGAAAAATTGCTTTGAAACTCAAAATATAAAGATATATTAGTAGTCTAGACAAGATAACACGGTCAAATTAGCGTGAACTCGCGCATGCACGTGCGCTCTTCTCTGATTGGCTGATACAAAAATCTCAATAATTTCCTTGTTTTTTGACAAAATACTTTGAAATTTAGAATATAAGTATATATTATAAGGTGCTACAACATGTTATATAGGAAATTTCTTGAAAACACGCGCATGCAGGTGTGCTGCAATCTGATTGGTTGAAACTTTCAATGTCCATAACTCCCTTGGTTTTCAACAAAACAAGATGAAATTTACGACATGGATAGGCACATAGAGCTCCTACATTATGATACTATCAAAATTGAATGCAAGGCCATGCATGTGCGTATGCTGAATTCTGATTGGCTAATACTTAAAGGGTTACATCTCTCTTATTTTTCAATGAAATTCTTTAATATTTAACACAAATGTATGTATTGTGACACACTATAAGAAAATTATTGTGAAAAATATAGAAAACATGTGCAAGCACATGCGCTGAAATTTGATTGGCTAATACCCATATGGCTATATCGGAGTAGTTTTCCAATGAAATACCTTTAAAAATAAAGTGTCCCTCTATATTACAAAAGTATTGTCTAATTTATTGAAGCTTGTAGGGAATGGGGCATCATAAGGGATTGGGGAGCCGTTTGGGGAACATCTGTAACGGTTCCCGTTACAATTAGCACTAGTTATATCGTATGTATGTGTATTATGTGTTGTAACGTTCGTGTTTTAAATCAGCTTCAACTTCAGTAAAATGTCAATTTATAATTGTAAAACATACAAATCGTATTTTTACCGAAGTCGTTTTTTCCTTTAAGGTAGGGGTAAAAATAAAATAATTACGATTAGCACCTGTTAAAAGATATGTACATTTCTCTTGTTTTTATTTACATAGTCTCGGCAGAGTGGCTCAATAGAAAATGGCATCAGGGCCATTAAGTGTCAATATACACAAAGAAGGATTTTAAAAGTTTACACCAGTCATGACAAGCTTGACAGATTTAAAAATAAAGATAGAAAAAGGTAAATATAACTTGTTCATCTATTTACATGTTCTCAAATTGTCACGGTAATTTAAATCTCCCAAGTAAATCTCAAGAAGGAATGAAATTGTGACAAACTGTAAACAGAGCCAAACAATCAAATGTAAAAACGAGTCTCAGAAGATATTTATTTATGAATAGTAACAAGATAAATTATTTGATTATTTAAGAAAAAGAATTTACATGCACGTGATTCTCTGTAACAAAAAATTCTTTGATTTTAATTGAAATTAAAATGAAAAATACTTAAAAGTACCAAGGATCCTCTAGGCTTTAAACAACACCGTCTCTCAAAAGCTGTCCATTACACTGGTAAAGATACCGCAGAAATATATTAAGAAGATAATTTTAGAATTAGCAAATCCATGCATTATAACCTAAGAAGAATACGAGCGGAAGAGATCTTTGATTAAAACTGTCTTATTGAGGGCGAAAGGGACTGCCCTGACACTGTAGATAGAGAATAATTGGAGGCTCCGTAACGCTGGGAGGGTTTAGTTCTAAATCTTTCACAAGAACTTCTGATATCCGGAAAGTTTCCACTTTTAGATCCTTCCTGAATCTTCTGCCTGATGTAACTGGACACAGTGGGGTATTGAGACGTCCCTATGGTGTGCTCCAACTTCCTGGAAGACTTAGATCGACTAAAACTGTGAGATGAACTTCTCTCTAGCTTACTTTCCACGTCCCTCCGAATTGGTGCCGACAATCGGTCCACTATAAGACTGACATTTTTCTGTGACACAGTTCGGAAAGCAGGTGCCCGTGGAAGACTTGAATTCCATCGGGGCCAGAACTGAGATTGGCGAAGGCGGAATCTCTCCTTAGGGTGGACATAATTATCGTCCCTTTTCACAGGAGGGGGGTCTCTCGTGACTGTTCGCGTTATAGTACCTGTGGTATGTTCTCCGCTGTATATGTTTTTTAAACTGCTGTCGAGAATATTACTGTACGTCAAGGAAAACGCCATAAAAATAGGATCCTGAAGAAAAATTATCAGGAAGGCGAAGAAAGTGTAACGGTGAATAGATCAAACTCGCTGAAAAATTTATGCAAACATTACCTTACACTGAACGTCTTTTACTGAATTTAAAAAGCCAATTTGTCGTTCAACACCTGAAATCAATAGATCACAAGCAAAAGATAGGTTTGTAATCGGACAAAAATTGTCCTACATACTCTTTAAGATAAATAAAACGACCGATCAACAAAAGGTTGACCAAGCAGTACAAATTCAACAACTCAAGATCAGTGCATTATGTTTACAAGATTTAAAGACGGAATCATTTGGACCTATGATCTACACAAATCTTTCATTGAAGAAATCAGTCTGCGTATTCTGTAAAACTGTTTCAGATATTATTTTGTTCCGTCTATAACGATGTACAGATAAGAATGTCTTAAACAGGTATACCTTTTGATTGTCTAATTTTATATGTCTGCACATAATCAGGGCATAAGAAAGAGATTGTTATACATGTATTCTGTAATTACAAGCCATGATTGTAATATAAATATCATTTCAAATATTATATATGTATATATTTAAGGAATAGCTGTCTAATTTTTTGAATTTTTTGGTTTCATGATGTGACCAATCGATTGGCTTGCGTGATAATTTGCATAAACGCAGAAGGCGTTCATGCATAAAATTATCACGCATTCCAATCGATTAATCATCGCCATGACACCAAAAAATCTGACAGTTATTCCTTATATTTACATGCTCTTGATTCTGCAAATTCACGTGCTACAATCCCCGCTTCTGTCTCTATTTGTCCCGCCCCGCACGTGATTTTTTTTTCACCACGCCTATCGATGAACCAGTAGATTTATGTAGAAATCAAGTATTTTTACTATTTGAAATTTTATCTCGGACAAAGACATTGGAAATGTGAATATATATATATATATATATATATATATATATATATATATATATATATATATATATATATATATATATATATATATATATATGAAGATGTATTAAACGCAGGGAATGTCACTTAAACATTAAAGATGCAACAACTAAGTACTTAATAAGGCTTTATTATAAACCCTTGCATGAAGACCTTATATATTCCGTGAAATATCTTAAAACTTCATATATAAGATAGTTTTCAAACTATATGATGCTGTAAATTTTTGAAAAAAATGATACAAAAACACCTTGTTCAAAAATATACCATACAGGAACAAATTATTATTAATTACAGATTTACAATTCCATTATATAGAATGCTTCCGAACCGCATGTTTCTGTCACATATTTCAAATGAAATGCTTCAGCAAATTACGGCAATGTATCTATTTGAACTGTCAGATATTAATCAAGATATCTGGAGTCAAGTACAGAATTAATGGCGGAGGTTAAATGCACGCGCTGGTCTGTATTGTTCTTGACGAAGCGTCTTTTGTTTTTGTCTTAGCGTAATTAAAAGCAATGGCAATGCAATATTGTTATATGACCAAGGTGTAAATTGTGTTGTCCAAAACTTAAATAGAAATGTACTGATAGATCGGATTACAGTTTGATAAAGAAAAGCTATCCAGATGCTAGATGTTGGAGAGCATTTAAACTAAGATAAGGAGGCTGTGACTTCAGTGTGTAATGGCTTTCCATACAACCCCTCACTACATCCGTGGTAATGATCTTAAATATCTCTACAGCGGACCCAGAAATGGTGATTCCATTAAGACAGAATTTCATCGCGCACAGGACCCTGGGACAATAATAGATTTTCTGAAATATTCCAAACATCGGTCTTTAAAACTTCCAGATGCCCCAGCTTTCCGAGAGTTTCCATCCGATAAAATTAATCAAGTTGTCTCCCGTGTACAAGACGACACCAGATTCAAAAGGAAAGGCTGTGCTCGAAAAATCAGTGATATATTCAATGATATGGCAGTTTCACGCTCAAACACCAACGTTCACGAAATAGACATGAGACTCTTACAGCCTACTGTATCTAGCAACATCCGGAAGTCAATGAGAAGGAACCGGAAGTCTGCATTTAAACTTCCGGAAATAAGCTGTTCCTGTGAAAGATTCGGTGTGCCAATGTCAAGGAGGTACCACCCAATTTACCGTGGGAGTTCTCTCGTGTCTTACAATAGTATGTTGACAATGAGGCTCGCCAGCCGACGGTCTAACAGGTCCACAACTAGTGATAAGACATCATCGTGTCCCGAGTGCAAAAAAATTCTACAGGAACACCACTCCGAACTCCATTAATTGTACAGCGATAAGGAAATTCATTGTTTTTTGATCGGTGTCTTTTTATTACACAGAATTTTCCTACCTCTGTATGGAACATAACATGTATAAAGGATTAATTGCTAGTTTCGAATTGGAAACAAATCTATATTTACAAATATTTTAATATATTGACACGCTGAATGAAGATTTTAATGCACATCTCACCCTCTAGGCATTTTAACTTTACTGTATGTCTTTAACAAAACATGTAGCACCAAAAACAGGGTTAAAATCATATGAATTCTGTTATTATATATATATATATATATATATATATATATATATATATATATATATATATATATATATATATATATATAACGAATAAATTACTGACCACTCAGATGTATGATGCATTTAATAACAATACAAAAATCAACCGATTCACATGAAGTCGATTGCTGTGTCCCGTGGTACAAGCTCTACGCATGCGACATTGAAACCATCGCTTTGGACGTCTGCACGGGAGGTAATTTTAAAACTCTGCGATTTTCACTTTTATTTTCCGCTAATTTCTTTGAATCAGTGTTGTCCCTTTGAATTAGAATCACATCCGCTTTTTCATTCTTAGTTTCATTGCTTTCCTTTCGAACACTGTCTTCTGCATCATCCAGAGTGAATTTGTGGAAGTTGTTAACAAGTCCTCTAATTGGGGGTATCACCGTATTTTTGAATGTCTTTCCTCCGCTCTCCACTTCCGGAAGAATGTCGGATTTTCTGGAGTTCTCTTCCTTTACCTTCCAATGGTTAAAACAATTCTCTACCCTTTTCGGAATCTCCTTGGGGTCTATGATTTGTCCACGTTCGATGCTTTCCAGAAGCGCCTGCTTTACCTTACGTTGTCGACGTTTCTTCGGATGATTATCTGAAATGAACCTGTCAATGTCCCGGGAATATGCAAATAAAGGTTTGCCGCCATAACACCCGAACCGGCGGGCGGCGCTGCTATTGGACAAATTATCCTTCCTCATCTTCATACACTGCTGTAAAACTCTCTGTTGGACGTGCTTCCGGCGCCACAGGGTACCTGCCTTATCCAGCCTATTGTCCATTTCATTTCTCTCCCTGGTCAAGCTATCATTAACTGTCTCCCATCGGGTTTTGATCATGTGATTTAGGATACACATAAATTTTCTGTTGCTGTTTTCATGGCGGCGGACTTCTCCCAGACGTCCAGTATCCATTGCTTTACTTTAACAAGTGAAGATTTTCGTTGTTTTGGTTTTAATGCAGATTTTACAATCCTTTAAATAACAAGGGTTTCCTGCAATTGAAATAAACATCGAGTTTTAATTTTGTTTACAAAAAGGATTATTTTTTAAAATCCTTTTGATGTGTTTACAATACTTATGACTAATTACAGAGGATATTACTTGATAAAATTTCGTAAACAAAGAATTACAATGTATTAGAATTAAGATTACGTCAGGAGTTTTACTTTATCGGTCAGAGACTGGAATGTTTAACGTCTGCATGTCCAGGTGATTAGAGGTGAACGTCATGAACAAACCTTGAGATATAAAAGTTAATGAACTAAATGATCGAGTAGAGCTACTGAACCTCAAAAAAAGCCCAACCTCGAAAACTACTCGGCCTTGTTTCAACCATTTGTGTAAAAACAACAAAAATTGACATAAAAATTAATTTGTTAAGAACAATAAGGAGTACAATTTAGTTCACTGCAACTGTCAAGGGGTAAAATTATACACCTGCAATACATAATAAACTAGAAAACCTTTACTCAGCCTTTACTTCAATGTCATTCTGGTTAAGCACTCCAAGGAGTGAATAATCTGATGAATAAAAAGCTACTCCTACAATTTTGTCTAATTTGAAATATTCTGGCATGTGTACAATTTGATTTTATATCTTTTAATAGTACGGGACAGTCACTATTGTTACTTAACTATGAAAAAAAAAATTCCATATATATTTAATTCAATATGAGAAATTTTATATTTCTTTAGGTTGCATGTATTGGTTTCTTTATTAAGAATATGTTTGTAAATACAAAATTACCACTTAAACAGTGGTAAGTTAAATACATTTCTGCCATAATTTTTGATAAATCACACATTCTTTAATATACCCATCAACGACTTTAATAATCAATACGGTACTGATATAAATCATATGGACTCGGACAACAACCACCAAAAAATGAGAGTCACATTCACATGAAATTTAAATTATTAAATAATCAAGTGAAAATCCAGATATTAAAAAAATGATTTTTTTTTTTTTTTTTTTTTTTTTTTTTTTTTTTTTTACATATTTATTAATCAAATTTAAATGGCTAAAATTAATGAAGAAGATAATTTCATATACAGGTACGTATCTATACAAAGATGAAAAGTGCTATAACACTGCTAGATGTTAAACCAATACATTTTAAAATAAATAACAGTTACAGTACACCGTTGATTTTTATCTGCTCTGGATTCTGGCCATTTACGGGACAAAAGAAATCTCCACTTACCAAATACACCACTGTCCGTACTTATACAGAACTCCGAATGTCAGACTATAATAGTCTCAACCCTCTCATTAAAAAGCTAATGGATAGAGTAGGGTAATTCGCTATTGACACGAGAAAAACTAATGCATACTAAATTATCCTTCTAGCCGTAAAATATTGAATCAAACAAGTTGACGCACGTTTGTAAATTATTTCTACAAGATTTCAAATCTTTTTTATGATTTCAAAAAATGTTAATCAAATAGATTAGTTACTGGACGATCCCGCAATTTTGCTTAAATTCGATATTTTAATGACATATACATATCCATTTTCTATTCAGGTCCAAAAATATAAACCATAAATGGCATTTAAACGATAGAAAACAGCTCTATATTGCGCTGTAAATAATTTTACCTGCTGTTTTTCTGCCTCAATGTTCTTTTCTCATTCTATAAAGTATCTGTCGGAAATTTTATGCATTGACACGGTGTATATAGACTGTATATACACCTGCATAGATTTCTTGCACGGCTTTTGTTGAAAGAAGTAAAATGCTTATGTTCTTCGAGTGTTTTATTTTTCCAAAACAACTCCTTGTTGAACTTGCCCTGTATTATAATTGTAAGCGCTGTTCAAATACCCAGAATAAACAAGCAGTTAAACTGATTTTAAAACCTGACAAAGGTTTTTTTTTTTTTTTTTTAAAAAATGTATCTTAAAATGTGTATTAGATTGTTTTTATTCTATTATGCTAAATTTCAACATCTATTCCTGACCACTTTTAACTCGCATTGTGCATACAATCATTTTCCCCGTTTTTCAATTAATATATATATATATATATAAACTAGTAATTCAAAATTTGTTGTTGGTAATAAAATTTTTCGGACAATGGTGGTTAATGACGCATTTTACTTACAAAGGAAATACCGCTTTTCCATTAAACAACTGTGGAATGCGCCTATTTATCTCTAGATGCTTTATATTCAGATTCCAGAATTAAAAGAAGGGGATTTTATCCCACGGTTTAAGGATTTTATCCCGTATCTTCAAATTTAATGACTTGAGCACATGTGCATAATAGATTTCTCACTTGAGACCACTGAGCTACTTATGCTACATTGTATATTAATGCAATACCATAGAAAGCAAATTATATATATATATATATATATATATATATATATATATATATATATATATATATATATATATATATATATATATATATATATATATATATATATATATATCGGTATCTCGAACACTAATATCTCGAATACCATGGATATGTCGAGGTGATTTGGAAGTCCCAACCCCTTATTCTTTCTTTTATGTATTTTTACCCATGATATCTCAAATCCTCGGAAATCTGGAAGTTTTTTTTCTTGGTCCCATTGAGTTCGAGATAACGAGATTTGAGAGAGAGAGAGAGAGAGAGAGAGAGAGAGCTGAGAAATGCCTGGTAATACGATACATACATTCTCAAAATTATAAAAATACAACTGTTACAGTAGCAGACATTTCAATCATTCGGTTTTTTACAATATTTTTTTTCTTTTATATTGGAAATACATAATTAAGATTGAAACTGATCATCTACCCTTGTAAGCTTGTACATCATTGTATTTTACGTAGGTCGATCAAGTAAGTGTAATGCTGCAGATTAAACTAAAATGAGCATTTACTTTGATATATATATATATATATATATATATATATATATATATATATATATATATATATATATATATATATATATATATATATATATATATATATATATAATAAATCGTACAATAGCTGACAAGTTTTGATCAATGTACAAATCTAACCTCGGTTTCCAGTGGCTGAATGTATTAATATTGTCCGTGTCCATGTATAGAGATTAGCATCAGCTCTTCGATCGCTTTTTTCCTTAGTGGGACATTTTTTCCTGAGATTAATAGACAAAGCCAGCACGGAGAAATCGACACTGTCTTTTAGAATTATACCCTTCTCTTCTTTATCTCTGAGTAGACGCTGATATTTTATGATTAGAAATTGTTACAATGAATTCGAATGCCCACTTTAAATTGAAATTCAGTGGTGTGTGGATATTTTGGTAGCTGCGGTGTGCTTAAATCCTTTTTCAGTTCCGTGTTAATTTTCACCCTATAAAGGTCACTTTGGATCTGTCAGATCTTTGTAGTGTATATCCAGAGATTGACTCGGCACCACAGATCACCCGAGTTTATATCGAGTGTAGGAGTCGTCCGAAGTCAGAGCTAACCTTAAAGGATTTGCTAAGCTTTGTAAACGCAATAATTTACTGTCTTGTCTTGGGAGGGACCCTGAATCAATACCCGCCGACTGGAGAGGACTTAACGTTAAGTCTCTCTAGTGTCAAGACACCTCATGCAAAGAATCCTTATATACACGGTTAGAACAACCACAGGAGTAGAAATGTTTTTACGAAAATTGCATTGTGGAATTCATCAATCCTGGCATTTTCAAATTTAAACATGTCTTTTCTATTTAATTTTACACTTATCTATACAGAAGTTTGGATCAGTCTGATTTATCATGACACAAAAAAGGTTACCTAATCTTCGTTGCGCAATTTTACATTTACGGTTATGTTTAATTTTAACTTCGTTGGTTCCAGAAGAAATGTCGATATTTTATCGTTACATGTATATATTTTCATGTTAAATAGACAATTATTTAAAAACATTTTTAAACAAGATGTGTTTGTGAAACACTATGCCCCCGATGATAACACAATTTTGGAGTGGGACGTAGACTACAGTGCAATAGTTATGGCCAATGTTAAAGTTTTTCAAATGTAGGTCAAAGGTTACAGTTGAGGTCACATGATCAAAAATTTCTGCACCAATGGAAAGGTCTTGTCATAATGAACACTCATGTCAAATATTAAAGCCTTACCCTTGACAGCGCAATAGTTATGGGCTAGGTTAAAGTTGACAACAGACAGACAGACAAACAGACAGGCAGGACAAAACCAATATACCCCCGGGATCTTTCGATCCGGGGGCAGAAAAATACAATATCCATACTGAGTGCATAAATCACGCCCTCTGGGTAACGGTGCACCATACATTGAAAATGTATGACAGTATAAAAATTGATAACTGCGCAGAATGTTTGCGCGTGCAGTTCCATTCTAGATGCATTCAGTAATATATATATATATATATATATATATATATATATATATATATATATATATATATATATATATATATATAACAATCTTGTTTTTTTTTTAAATATTTTTTTGGAATTCCTGCAAGTTTTTCTTGCCAAAAAGGAAACAGCATAAAAGACATCTATATTTTTTATCCTGCAAGAGGAACAAAAGCAAGCTGATAATGACGTTTAATCCTTCCACAAAGTAATTTTCAACATGAAGCCATGATTTAATGTTTGGTGAGTATTTGTTTGTATTCAAATTTCTATTTTCCAGTCAACAAGAAATCCAGTTTTATATTGTAAGTTTTCTGCAATTCCTTTATGTATGTAGAAAAATCTTCGTCAGAGCAAGAATCCAGATTTAATTCAGAAACTTCCTCAATAGTGAGTGCACCCTTGATAACTTCCTCCTTACAGAGGTACCTATTAATTAAGTAAAATATTGTTCTTTTCACGTATTCAAATTGTCAGTAACAGAGATCCAATCATCCATCTTAGGAATGTTTTCTTCCGAGAGTGTCGATTTAACAAACTGAACGACGGTATACCAGAACTTTATCCACAATAGGGCAAACTTGTGACGTCGATCAAAATGATGAGTGAGTTCTGACCATCCCCATTCAAAGCATGGGAATTCTAAGACGTGGCCCCAGACGTTCATGTCTCTTGCAAAAAAACAGGGCATTTGTATTTTGTAAAAACACGATGACGTGTAGTCTATTATACCGTTTATACAGACAGCGTCCAGTCGAGAATGTTTGCACTTAGTCTCTCCATAAACATGGAATAGGAAAGCTGTTTTCAAAACATATGAGGACAAATTCATACACTTTCCGGACAAGTTTATTTCTTCAATTAGAAGTGCTTTTAATATTTTGTAACAGAACGTATGGTGTTCGTCCATGTTTTTCATTAGCTCAAGCTCCATTCGTGCGAAGGAGATAAACCAGCAAGAGGGGTGAGGGGAGTGATCAATGTGACATGATTTTGTAATAATGTGGCATCCATACTCCAAGAGTAGATCTTGAAACTCAGATGGGAATCCCAGCAGATTGCTAACAGCTTTTGGGTCCGGATGTTCCAACGCCATCATCAAATCAACACCAATATGTGTTCTTTCAACATTAACTAAAGCTTCGCTATGTATATCATATTTCATCTCTGACACACCACTTCTTTTAACATATAAAAGTACGAGTTTTTCTTTCTCATTTTTTGTTGGCTTTAAGGTCCCTTCGGGTTTTCTACATGCAAAGAGTTGGTCTCTGTAACTTCAGAAATCGCACTCCAGAAATTAGAAATCAAATCTTTTGGATTTCTGAAGTAATTCTCATACATATTGTTATATGATTGATTAAGAACGTTACCAAAGCTACAAGAACACATGTAAGGCTTGGCTTCTTTTTGGTCTGTTCTTAGTTGGAGTTTGGTGTGCCAGTCAGAGCATCCCTTTTGAATATTAATTTTATCAATTGCTGAAAAAGTCTTAAGAATAACCATAAAGTCAAATTCATCAAAATTTCCAATTTTTGTTCCTTCATAGAAACTTCCTGACGAAACAATGTCAGATATTTTAAACAGTGGATTTTTCTCTCCGACTTTCTGTACTAAATGTTCAAGTAATTGTCTGATACCTGGTTCTATTGTCAGTTTATCAGCTTCGTTCATCGGTATGACGCAGCGCTGTCTACAGACGTAACGGAGCAGCGCTGTCTATAGACGTAACGGAGCAGCGCTGTCCATAGACGTAACGGAGAAATGCGCGCTGTTTGTTGTCTTGGGATACTATAAAAGAAGAAAAAAAGGAAGATTTTTTCAGATACAAGTATCATGAAGAAATTTCTTTTTCAAACAAATTTCTTAAAAAAAATTCCACCT